CCTGACTCGTTTTCGTAGCCCCATAGAGAGCTCCACCTGAGGGCCCCATGGCGCAGTTCGCGTGGCGGCGCCGCCCCATTTTGGCACACTCCTCATACGCTTCGTGGCCCCATAGGGAGCTCCATCTAAGGTCACACTTTTCGGTTTCGCGCCGCGGACGACCCGCGCGCGTCGCTGGGGCCCCTTCGGGGCGACCAGTGCGCGTCCGGGAACTCCGCGCGGCGCTCTCCCCAGGGCCTTGCTCGCCATTTATCGATTTGCCCGGCGGTCAGATGCTTGCCCGCCATCAGCCAGCAAGCTAGCCCTCTTTGCCCCGCGCCGTGGACGACACGCGCGCGTTTCTGGGGCCCTCGCGGGGCGACCAGCACGCGTCGCGGGAACTCCGCGCGGCGCTCTGCCCAGCGCCTCGCCCGCACGTTGTCGCTCTGGCCAGCGGCCAGATCCTTGCCCGCCGCCATCCAGCCAGCTTGCTTTCTTTGTTCCGCGCAGCGGACGACCCGCGCGCTTCGCTGGGACCCTTTTCGGGGCGACCGGCGCGCGTCGCGGGGACTCCGCGATGCGTTGCGTCTGCAGCGTTGGACTTTGGAGCGCAGGGGCAAAGAGGGAGAAAAACACGGAAAGGAAGCGGGCGCGATCCTATCGAGGTGTGCGCCGACATTGGCGTCGCGGTGCGCGGGCGTTGCTATCGGGTTATCCGAGGGAGCTCCCTGTGGCGGTCACGCTCAGCGCCACGAGTACTCAAAGCCAGGCGTGCCCAAGCCGTTCACGTTCATATACATGTACAGTAGGTGGCGTAGCCATGCTCGCACTGATGAAAACAGATTCACTTTCGCGCAGACTCGTTGACAATCATACCCGCTCGCGCTCATACTCACCCGCGCTCAGTCCTTCGTATTCTGACCTATCGTCTTCGTTCGCGTTGTGTACCTCGCCATACATGTTGGCACGCCCCTCATGCGGTTCGTGGCCCCGTTTGGAGTAAAACCGAATATGACATTCACATTTGCGATATTCACAACTGCATATGCTTGGGTCTTTCGCCGGGCTGGCTGCTGCAGATTAGAGGCGTTGATTTCCAGCATATTTGGAACACCGAGCCCCTGCCAGGCATCGACCCGACCTGGCAAGCGGTTGGCGCTTTCCCGCGATGACCAAAGTTGCCGGTCAGCCGGGGGTGAAATTTCGCAGGACTGATCGGTTCACGTCTTGCCAACGGGTCCCAGAAACCCACGTCGCCGTTGGCGATCCTTTTCCCCATTGTGGATCATCTTCCCACTCGGATGCCACGTCGTGGAAGGTGCCAGCATCGGGGCCACATGCGTGTGCTTCAGGGCCGTGATGGCTCGGGGCGGGGGTCTTGGTCTTTGCGTATCCATAGGAAATGTGGCGTTATTGGCTCAGCATTTGTTTGCGGCCATCAAGCTGCAGTTTTGGGCCAATCCTGGCCTCCCGTCGCTCGATCCTGGGGAGGAGTTTGCACCGTTCGCCGTTCCACTGGATCCCTTCTATGATTTCCAGCGTGGTCGTGATTTCGCTCAAGTGGCACCCCTCCGTCCACCCTGACATGTGAAACGGTGCGCGCGGCACCCCATTTTTCACTTTTTGTTCTGACATGTTTGTTTTGACTGTGTTTCCCCCTTCTGTAGCATGCGCAGCCTTATTCTTGTTGGACACAGTTGAACAGTTAAGTTTGGAAATGTACTCGGCATATTAGCTCGTAGCATTCAGGTGAAACTGTGTTTTCGATCCTTTCGGTTCAACAGCCTGATGAACAGCCAGCCTTCCAGCGGACATATGGACAATGAGTTTGGCACCATTGTGATGGATACACTGCGTTGGTGTACATCCCCGCGACGTGCTGCAACCCATGTGTCAGCCGCTGGTATTTGCAAACCGTGAGGGTTCTTTTGGTTCCCCCGCGAGGTTCCCCCGCCGCCCGCTCTGTGCCTAGTTTCGATTGGCGCAGGCGAGTATTCATGATATTGAGAAGATGTCAGACATCATTAGTTTTACTACAATGAAGAGTCAACAGGTTGAACACTCACAGTAATACTAGTAATCGTAGGAGTATTTGTCTGAGTATTTTTTTTTATCAATATTGACAGTACGTGTATTCATACGAACAGATCCAATTCCAGTAACAAGACGAAGGATCATAGGAATGTTAAGAATGTTGTTGTTTTCCACAACATCTAAAACCACAACGCCATTAATATTGCTAAGGCCTTACGGCCGCTGCCGCCGACCCTGAAGACGACGACGACGAAAACGAGGAGGAGGATGAGGAGGGGGATTAAGGTGGAAGGGAGCAGGAGAACGCAAAGGAGATGTTCCCTATGTGGGCCGAGGGAGTCGTAGCAAAGACAGACAGGGAGCCTTGTGGCCTGCGGCCCTTCCCGCCACCGTGCTGGGGTTGTGGTTGAAAGGCCTCCAGGATGTTTTCGGGCCTGTTGGGGCCTCTGTTGGGCATCTTGGAGGTCTCTTGGGGGCCTCTTCGGGCCCCTTGAGGGGTTCTTGGGGCCTTCTGGGGGGCTTCTTGGGGCGGGAAGCTCGAAATGTCGGTTCGTGGTCCTTTCCTTGGGCCTGCTTGGGGCCCTCTTGGCGCGTTTTGGCGCTTTTTTGGGCTCCGGGACACCCAGGGGCGGATGAGCATCTGACCCCCCCCCCCGGTACCCCCCGGACCCCACCCCCCCTCGGCGCGCGAGGGATCAAAGGGAAGGGGCTTCGCTTCGACTTAACTACGACGTTGCTACGGTGTTCTCTCGCTGGCAGGCTTGACGAGGAGGGTGCAGGGAAAGGGGACGACGGAGACGCAGGGAAAGAGGACAACGGATGCGTCGACTAAGCGCACGCCGACAGGGGCTCCACACACCGACAGGGTCGGTGGAGTTCTTAATTTTATTATTAGTAGTTTGAACTATACTATTGGCATGTCGAATGCGAGTACGAGTTATAATACGAATAGTTATACTAGTAATGCACACGGATGCGAATCTTAATATTATTAGTATCAGTGCGGCTATCCGCAATCTTACTAACATTATGAAACATCGTGCCAACAACACGACTAAAATTTCTATTACAAATGATAATGAAGAATATCAATGATAATACTAAACATAATACGAATAATGATACTAATATTGATACGACCAATTTGAGGCTAAGGAGGAGGATGAGGAGGAGGGGTGGAGGCGGAGGAGGGGGGGGGAGGAGGTGGAGGAGGAGGAGGAGGACCAGGAGGAAGAGGATGAGGAGGGGGAGGTGGAGGTGGAGAAGGGGGAGGTAATGGAGAAAAAGGTGGATAAAGAAAGGGAGTGAGGTGGAGTCGGAGGATGGGGATGGGGGGGTTGAACTGGAGAAGGCGGGGGTGGAGGTGGAGGGGGACGGTGGGAGCAGGAAGAGGAGGTTGGAGGGAGAACGGAAGTGATACAACATTCGTGTGTTTTGTTGGTTCCCAGCCATCCTGTGGTGTTTGTCCTCGTTTTGAAGGGGATGCGACCCGCGTCTCCTCTCCTCCTCTTTCTCCGCTTCCTCCCCCTCCACCTCTTCTTCCTTCTGCCCTCCCCACGGCCATTTCGGCACACCACTCACACGTTTCGTGGCCCCAGAAGGGGGCTCCACCGTAGGCCCCGGTGGCAATGCCCACATGCGGTTCCCCGCCCATTGCGGCACCCCCATGACACGTTCCGTGGCCCGATCGGGAATTCCACCTGAGGCCCCAGTGGCCGTCCTCGCATTGGGCTCTCCGCCGATGTCGGCGCAGTTCTGATACGTTTGGTGGTCCCATACGGGGCTAGCTCCACGTACCAGCTAATGCCCCAGTGGCCGTCCTCGCAGCGGGGCTCTTCGCCCATTCCGGCACATCCGTGACACGTTTCCTGGCGCCATGTGGACCTCCACCGAAGGCCCCAGCGGCAAGGTTCGCATGCGACTACCCGCCTATCTGGGCACACCCTTCACACGATTCGATGCTCCAGTGGGGAGCACCAGCGAAGACGATCCTCAGAACTGCGGTGCGTTGACTTCATACTGTTGGGTCCTTCGCCAGGAAGATTACCTTCGCGAACGCCCTCGTCGCCACGACCGTGTCCTCCTCGAAGTTTTGACCAGAGCGCTCCGCAGAGCTTGTCCGGAGGTTTGGCCGCGATGCGAGGGGCCTGTGGGGCGTAATGCGTTCTGCAGCATGCTGGGTGAAGTACAGTGGAAGCCCATGCCGAGAAACACCCTGCTTGCCTCCAGGGTGCCCTGAGTTTCTTGGGTTTCGATGGTCTTGCCATGGAAAGCGTGACACTCCCACGCGAAAAGTCAGTAGACGTCCTGGGGTCTTAGCGTTGGGTTTCTTGCGGAAGGCTTCTTGCGGACTGGCCTCCATAGTACGTGGCGCGTGGGGTTCACCCATTTGTTTGGATCTGGACGCGGGCCTAGGCCGCCCAGGCGGTTATTTGCCGGCGCTGCGCTGGATGCCGCTTTGCGATATCGATGTTGCCGCACGAGCTTGCGTTGGAAAAGGGGTTTCCTTGAACGGCGCTAGGACGAGGATTAGTTCTCAGGGACAACGATAGGGGAGGATATGCATAGGGAGGGATGCCTCGACCCCCAATCGTTCATTGATCGCCGATAGTGGCCCAGTAGCCCCAACCTGCTCAGGAAGGTGCGGATTCACGATCGGAGGCCTATCGCCGATCTATCGGCGATGTATCGCCGATTTCAGGTCGATGCATCCCCTCCCTATGCCAGTCCCCCCCTGTCGTTGCCCCTCAAATTCGTTCCAGGGCGTTCCGTAACGCTTTCAGAGCGTGCCCCAACGCTCTGAGAAGGCCGCGGTGCCCGAGACATCTTTCAGAGCCGCCAGATCTCAGGTACTCTCGATGCATCCTCACCCGGAGTTATCCTTGTCCTGGCTTCGTCTTAGTTCCCCTCCTCACCCTCCAGCTGGGGTTACGAGGCTGTCTGTTTGCATTGGAGTAGCCATCCCTTCCTGCTCCTCCTGGCCAGAGGCGCGGCTGCAGTTCCTCCGCCAGGCCGCTGGACGAGTCTGTGGTGCAGGCTGGGTAGTCCCGCGGGACGTTTGTCAAGCGGTCGTCATCGTCGCCGCCGCCGCTGTTGTTGTCGTCGTCGTTTCTTGCTTCCCTGTTCATCGAGGACGAAAGGACCCCTAATCCTGTTAACATAGTGAACAAGTGTCCTCACTGATGTCCACGTCTTTGCATTAGGTGTAGTATATGTGTGTGGTTTGGTTTGGTACATCTGAAGACAGACTCATGTTCCTACTTTTTCGGGCCCTCCGAGCATCTGTCTCATCCCAATCCGCGCTCTTTACCCATCTCTTCGTCACTGTCCGACTTCCTTCGTCTCTATCTCTATGCCTTTTCTCACTGTGTTTGTCGCCATCCCGACTCGAGTTGTCCCTGGGAGGGGTTTTTGTGGCCTTGGTCAGCCACGCACAGAGGGGGGTAGGGGGAGGGGGTAAGGCTTGTTAGAAGCACCCTTGCTTCTTAGAAGGAGCGGGCCTTGCCTATACATGGAAGGCCAGCGCCTTCTAAGAAGCAGCCCCCTTTTAAGAAGCCTTCCCCCCTCCCCCATACATCCCTTTCTGCGCGCCGCCAAGTCGGGGAGCGTCAGGTGGCACTTGCTCCAGCGTCGGTTACAAGGTGCTCCACGAGTGCCTGTGCAGGGACGGTGCTCGGCGTGGTGCACCTGTCCTCGCCGCGGTCGGTGTTTGGTTTCTGCGTGCCTCGCAAGGAGGAGGAAGTGGAGGAGGAGGAAGAACAGCAGGAGGAAGAGGAGGAGGAGGAATCAGGTCCAACTCCTAGGAACGACCAGGGCGCCGTCGAACTCACATGAATCAGCCACGGGAGTCATAGCAGCAATTTGCCCGCACCCGTTTCCATTTCATGTCCATTCCGCTTCCGTTCTGGGACCGCCGCTGGCAAATCACGACTCCGTTCCCTTGACAGTGCATCAGTCGTTCGTCCGTGAAAGCGCTGCGAGCGCGGAACTACATTGTTTTCAGGCGTAGCACGACATCTTTATTCACGCGGTGAACTGAGCTGATTGGCTGGATGGTTGACCAATTGGTTGACAAGCTGACTGGTTGACTGACTGATGTCTCCTGCTAGCAGGCCGTTGTAGTGTGGACGTAACCCCCGCATTTGTGTCGCACCCTGCGACTTGAGCAGTCTGACTTGACTTTACTGGTCGCGTGCGTTGATTATTTGTACTACGTTCTGCCGCCGAACGCACAGCCTGTGGCACAAGCACTTGCTGGCCGTCTTCTGATTCGCGACTTCTTGTCCGCCGCCGAGCTCGCAACCTATGCCGCAACCATTGGGAGGCAGTTCTAGCGTCGGCGGCCGAGCGCGCAACCTCTGTCGCAGCCAACAGCAGGCCTTGTGTGGCTTGTCGGCGGCCGAGCGACCTATGGCTCGCCCAATCAGAGGCTGTTCCACTCTCGGCCGCGTATTCGAGAGGCTTGCGACATTCCGCCGACGGAGGAGGAGACGGAGACTAGCGTTGAGGGTGAGGTTGAGCTCAGGAATAGCAATTCGCTGAGGAGGAGGAGGAGGAGGAGGAAGAGGAGGAGGGGAAGGAGGAGGAGCAGTGGGAGGAGGAGGAGGAGGAGCAGTGGGAGGAGGAGGAGGAGGAGGAGTAGGAGGAGGTGGAGTCTCCCCCACAGGACGCACGGTTCCAAACAGTAGCACTAAGCAGGGTCCCGAGCCAGGCCCCCCCCTCCCCTCCTCCTCCTTCTCCTCCTCCTCCTCCTCCTCCTCCTCCTCCTCCTCCTCCTCCTCCCCCTCCCCCTTCCGCCCAGTGTCGAAACGCCGCATAAGAAAACGCTCACAGCCTGGCTTGTCTCCGTCCACGCCGGAGCGCCGCAGTCCCAGCAGGCGCAGCCGCAACACGGCCTTCCTCTTGTTGAAGGCTCGTGCGGTAGCCGACTGCCCAGGAAGCCTGCCTTTCCCAAAGGCTTATGATGTTCCAACCTACCCTAGCCTTGATCACCAGAAAGAATTTCGAGCACCATGAAAGTACCGAAGCTCGAAGGTTTTCGCGTGACGGGCGCTGGGAGGCGATACTCGTTGAACCCAAGGCCTGGAGATTCTGCGCCACGGCGCTGCCGAAATGGTGACGACAGGGTCCTCACAGGGCGCGGAGCTGGGAGATGGCGACCGCGCCCCAGCTCGCGCAGCACCAGAGGCGCCACGACTCGCAGAAGAACAGGGCGTGAGGGGTGCGGGCAATGTCTATGTTCACGTCCAGTGCGTATTGGAGTTTCGGGCTCTCTTCCCAAGAATTGTGCGGCGCCCTGGATATGGAATAAACTCTGGCTCCAAAAGGCTCGATGTTTATCCATGTCCAGTGCGCCTCGGCCTTGCGGCGCCCCTTCCAAGAAAGTCCAAGACGCACTGGACATGGATATAAGCATTTCCCGCAAGAGGGATTGAGACGTGAAACGTCCAAGCTGGACAGGCTCGCGGCACCTCACGTCGCCTGGCCACGCAGTGCGAGCGCTCCGGCCTGCGGCACACGCCGGCCCGAGCCAGGCGAGGGCGCGATAGCGGGGCTGCAGCCCGCACGCGGCGCCGAAGCAGGTGCAGCCCAGTTTGGTCGGACCGACGTGCAGCAGGGCTGGACCTGAACGCTGTTTTGCTGGACTTCGGCTGTGTTTTGTGTTTCGTTTTGGCGGAAAGGTGCAGGAGAACAGGTAGAGCAAAACGAACAACAAAACGAACACATAGCGAAAACAAGCGTTTAGGTCCAGCCCTGACGTGCAGCCACGCGTAACCCTATCCCACGAGGCGGAGTGCGGTGACGGCTGACCACCTCCAGAGGCGCCGCCGAAGCCGACAGAGAACCACCGCGCCGCCCGGGATTCGGACTTGAGCGTCGGCTGGTATGATGTCTTCCACGTCGGTTGCGGGTGAGTCCTCGGAGCCTTGTTCCGCGTCTTCCCCGATTTTACACGGGAGGAGGGCGACGAGGAGGAGGAGGAGGAGGAGGAGGAGGAGGAGGAGGAGGGAGCGAGGGATGGGAGGGAGGGACTTTTTGACTATACTTAGCTCGTTGCAAGTTAGCTTGAGCGCAGCGGCCAACAGGACTGGCACAGGCTGCACACGAGAAGCCCGAGAGCATGGACGCTGAGCTGCTTCCGCCCTCGTCCCGAAAACTGTCAGGAGAGAGGTATTGGCGCAGAGGGAGGAGAGGAGAGGTATCATTACGAATGAGGGAGAGATAGCTGCGCCGTGCGAAGAGAGACATCAGCGGCACCCTGCTTCGTTGCCCATAGTAGGGCAGCCCTCGATGCAGAGAGCAGTGCGAGGCAGGAAAAAGAAAAGACCTGCCTGGGAGTGCCTTCCGAATTTCGGACTGCTATTAAGAGGGAAGAGCTGGACGGAGGGCCAAAATGGCCAGGCCGCATTGCGGCTGTCCAAACCTCCTGGGGAGGAGATCTGGACTGAAGGAGGAGCGAGGGAAGTCATAAGAGGCGGGAGAGGAAGAAGGGCCGTAATGGCATGGCCGTGTTGCAGGGCGTACGCTGCAGCTGAGAGGCCTGTACGGGCCGACCGCGGCGGGGAGGTGGGTGTGCCTGGGCGCTAGCCGAGACCAGACAACAGAGACCCACCTCCGTGTGGCCCCTCACAGGCACACAGGGACCAAGGGGACCCTGCTACACCTGGACGAGGGCCAGAGAGACAAACCAAGGCCAGTACCGCGTTCCTCTCACGAGGCACATATGTTTGCCGCGGCCTTGCTCCAGCCGCACAGCCAAGACGCACTGGGGCATGGTGCCTGTCTGCATATATGGCACCTTCGCTGGCCGCCTTAGCCGAGAGTTACTCGGCGGGGCTGTGCTGTAGCATCGTCTAGGTATTGAGCTGCCAAGGTGAACCAAGAGTATTAGGCCAGCTCGCCACCTAGGAGACTCAGCCGTGGCGAGTCTGCGAATTGCTGTGTGAGCAAGGCCGATCGCTGTATAGCGAGGCTGCTAAGAAGTGCCGCGAGGCTGCTAAGGGGGGCCGGTAAAAAGCAGAGCGACTAGGTGGGCTGCCGAGGTATGTATTAGGCTGGCCCCGCCCCTGTGTGGCGCATTGACGGTTGCATCATGGGCGCCCATCCCATATTAGCTGAGATGGTGCCGACTGGATGCCGCACAGTTAAAGGCCTTACGGGCGCTGAAGGAGTTGCGGCTGCAGCTGAAAGGCCTGTGCGGGCCGTCCGCGACGGGGAGGTGGGTGTGCCTGGGCGCTAGCCGAGACCAGACAACAGAGACCCACCTCCGCGTGGCCCCTCACAGGCACACAGGGACCAAGGGGACCCTGCTACACCTGGACGGGGGCCAAAGAGATGCGTCGGGGCAGAGGCCACGTTCCTCTCATGAGGCACGAGTCTGCGAATTGCTGAGCGAGCCTAGCTGATCGCTGTTTAGCGAGGCTGTTAGAATGTGCTGCGCTGGCTGCACTAGTGCAGCAAAGTGAGAAGTCGCGCCCATGTGTGGCGACTACTCCTGGACAGGGCCCTCTAAAAGAGGGGCCGGTGGAGAAAAGAGCGCTAGGTGGGCTGCCGAGGTAAGTATTAGGCGGACGCCCCTGCGCGGCACATTTACGGTAGCGCCATGGGCACCCATCCCATATAGGCTGAGATGGTGTCGAATGGTGCCGCAAGAGCTGCAGTGAGAGTGTGCACCTGAAGGCCTCACTGCAGCGGAATGTATGCCGGCTTGGCCGGCCTTAAGTTGGAGACGCGGTGTCTCCTTTATAAGAGTTTGGCTTGATTAAAGAAGGCTTGGGCTGAATAGGTGGCGGGCTGCAGGCAAACCAGGATCTGCGCAGTGTGCTAACCCACCACCTATGCGTGAGGACTCGGCCGTGGCGAGTCTGCGAATTGATATGTGTGAGCGGCGCCTAGCCGCCTCGCTGTTAGCGGGAAGGGCTGGGTGCTGCTAGACTCGCGTGGCGTATAACTCAGCTATGCAGGACGGCTCGACCGACCTTGAGTTGGAGCGGCATGGCTCCAGCTGTTTAGGTGGTGGGCTGCCGAGGTGGAGAAGAGACGCTGAAAGGAT